GTTGTCACACCCACATCCACACCTACACACCCATCCACACCTACACACCCACACCCCACCCTTGTTTATCGACGAGAGAAAACTTAAAACAATGCTAGATAACTAAAAATAGATTATTACATTGTTCTTCATGTAGATAAATTTATCTTGAGCATGTTGACACTCAACTACTTTATATACTAGTTACATTCGTGTTACGTCGAGAATTTTTGCGCATAGCGGATATTAATGAAGCACAATTGCACTACTCTTTGGAGTTTCTTCAGCATCAGAAATCTTGTGTTGGTATAGTTTGTTTCATTGGTCAGATGTGACTTACTACTATGTCGTCATCCCTGGCGATTGCCTTGTGCACTTCCGCCTTGGCCACCAACTTACGATATGCAAATATCGACACAGCACTATTTCTACGCCAGCCAGGACTTTTATGATAACGAAACAGTCGCATTTACAGCATTGCATGGTTTTATCGGGATCGACTGAATCAATTGTTATGGACATCCAGCTCATCGTGAAGAAACTTTGGCTCAACAAGCAGCATTAATCAAAGCTGTAAATCGAAAAACTCGAGTTTTCGTCTATCGTCAATCCGAATTAGCATTGAATATCTTTGATGAAGGTGGCAAAGTGATGTATGACCCTTCGAAAGTATCAAACTGAATTGTTTTATATCCTAACGAAACAATTTACAACGATTCAACTATGGTACATGGAGTTCGAATGGATCAGTTCTGTTGGGATCATCGAAATCCAGATGTACGAGACTATTTTGTTCATGAATAAGTAGGTAGTGCGTTTAGTCAAACTACGGTCGATGGGATTTTCTACGGCGATGATGGTGTAATCTGGCAGGAACGACGTAATTATTCCAATTATACTGACGATTACCGAAAATTAGTCGATGCAGCACAACAAATATCATTGCATCGAGCTTGGGAACTTGGACTTTCGTATGGCAAACATGCCCGGCAGGCTTGGATTACTCCTACTATCCCTAACAGTCATGATACACCAGCACAATGTGCTGAAAAAATGAGAACAGCAAAATCTATGAAAGATGTTCCTGTTACTTTTCCTGCTATGTATAACAGTGCATGTAATCGTCCTTGGAAACAATGCAAAGATCTCAAACAATACTTGGTGGCATTTTTACTAGCTTGCGATGATTATTAGCTATTTTTCACACATAACACATGGTGGAAAGAAGGGTTTGAGCCTCCATATGGAACTCCATTAGCCGATTGTATAGAACCCGTTGAAAATGTATTTGTACGACAATGGAGCAACTGTACTGTTTATCTTGATTGTAATGCATTCGAATCCGCCATAGTTTTCCGCTCCGCCAATTGTATTTGTTTGTGACGAGAAGATCATTTACAAAAATTCCATTTGTATTTTTTTCTATTTCTTATATTTTATTATCTTTCTCCGTGTATCATTTGCTTTAGATTCTACTCCTAATGACTGATATTCTACAGGTTGATTCACAAATATCTTTACAATAAAACATTTGATTATTTCCACCCTATTTCAACTCTATCGGGCTGCTTTTTTATAGATGCTAGATACATGCACAAAGTTTTTATTCAATAAGAAAATCATCAATGGATACTGTTATTAATCATCACTATTGACCTTAATAAGACAGTGTATCATTTTATATTAATAGAAAATTACTTTCAGAGATTTGTTTATGTTTGCAAATCGTCTTCTGATGCAAATGTAGGCCATTTCTTACTTTTTGTACTGTCTCTCTCTCTCTTTAATATTATTATCATCAGGATCATCGTGATCACCACCACATATGTATGTGTCTTTCTTCTCTTGCATTCTGTTTAAAAGCATATACTTTCTCAATTCCTTTCGAGATTATTCAAGTGTATTTCAAAGAGTATACATATCTTGTCTCACATTAATTCCTATGACACATGACGTCATAGTATTTCTCTCTTAGCTTCTTTATTATAAACAGCATTATTGTGCGCATTTTATTCATTCTATTCTGATTCTATTCGATTCCTAGCTAGTTGAGTGGAAATCATGGCTCGGCGTCAACTATGTATTGATGGCAAAGTATGGATAGTGAAAGCTATGTATCGGTTTCTATATCCAATTTAAGTGCAGAGTTTTTGGACCAGGGAAACGGAGAACTAGTCTTCCAGTCAACCTACAATAAATCCAGTAATGAAAAAGTTTAGCAGACCGGCTCTGTACTTGGCACTCATTCATCTGGTCGGCCAGTGTCTGTTACTAATGTCCATTTCAGAGTTAAATGGCCGTGGGTATTTTTTGAATAACTTTGGATAGAAATAAGATAGAAATCTCCGGTTTTCACCATTGGAAAGAGCAGTTGAAGATACATAGAACTATATATAGAAAGATTTTCTAACTGCTTTTCTATAGGTTTCACATAAAACTTCAAGAAAAACAGCATGCTTCTCATGGTCATGATATTTATTTATTGATTTTCAGGAGTGGCCTACAATCACCAAAGAAAGAGCTACAAAACTATATCAAGACACTGTTCATAACTACTACCAGTATAATATCCAAACTATCGAAACACAATTTACCACCTCATTCTTTTCAACAAAATAATCGAAAAATGTAAATTTTTGTAGTATCTTGATGAAAGAATCACTTTTTTAACGTAGGAGAAAAAAGCAATTCTTTGAAAACTTTTGACTTAACCTTTGGGAACAGTAGTTAGAAAAATCTTGCTATATATAATTCGATACGTCTTCATCTGCCCTTTCCAACGGTGAAAACCGAAGATTTCTAGCTCGTTTCTTTCAAAATTTATTCAAAAGCTTGCCACGGCCATTTAACTCTAAAATGGACATTAGTTGTAATATAAAAAGAAAAAAAATCTAGATGAAGTTGATAGTAATTCAAAAAAAATAGCATATAATTACATTGAAAGACACATAACATCTTAAGCAAATATCAAAGAAATATCAATTGAAACTTTAGAATTCTTTTTCGTTCATTTTTTTGTTTTCGAAATAATTGTATGACAATGACTGATACAAATAAAAATATAATAAATCGTTGAATATATTTAATTTTATTTGACTTGGTCATTAAAAAAAAGTCGAATGTGTTCAATCAATATATTATTTTACAATTCATAAATGTTTTCTAAAAGAAAAATTCTTGATTTTTAGAAAGACAAAAAAGTGTATTTTGTTAACTGTTCTTGTATTCATTAAATATAATTATATTCATGGTTATCGTTTAATTCTTGTCCATTATTCTCAGTTTTTTCTGGAATATTTTTTATTAATTTCATTTACTACATGATCAATTATTGATAATGAATTTACTTTTGAATCCGATAAATTTGAATACCGATCTTCATGCAATTTCGACAATGACTCTGGAATTGTTTCATACTCATGATACTCTTTTATTACTAAAATAAAGAAGAAACAGAATTCTTCAATAGTATTTTAAATGAAATTTTCTTACTTAAATTTAATCGATTTGTTTTTCTTAAATATTCTTCTACACAATGATGAATTAATAAATATTGTTTCTAGGAAATATTACCAAAAAGAAAAATATTAAATTCATATCGCATATAAAAACATACTTCTGTTTGTACCATTTTTGCTCTATCATGTCTTAATTGATTGACAACTCCCATAATATCAAGTTGCATTCTTTCTAATTGTTCGTTAGGTTGATCAAGTAAATGAAGTATAATATCAATGGCAATGTAAGTTCCTGTTCGACCAGTACCTGAACTGTATAAAAAAAAACGAATTTCAATAATATATTATGCAGGAGCATGTAGGATGTTACACCCACACCCGCTTCCTCCCCCTTCCGGCTTTAAAGATTTCTTATGTAATATACTCTCCTCTCAATACTTACAAAATTTTTATTCTATTTACTATAAAAAGGGCGAACACAGACATGAAGTAGAGATTTACTAACTCTTTGCCAAAAAAGTGTTGGGTTAAATAAGTCTTTATCGAACAAGATATGAAGAGAGCAAAAAAATTCGCTTCGTAAAACAATGAGAACTTTACAATTACAATTGATTTAATAGGTCTCATATGCCATTGAAGCAATTTCCTATGATACTCTTTTATACCTAAAGAGATTTTTTCTAAATAGTCACGATTGCGGCCATCTTCAGCAGAAATTTTCATTAATTCTGCGTTCTATAAACTATCAGTTCAATTAATAGTCTCTGATGTGAACGCTTCCGGCATTAGACATACCTGGAAACTTTTTTGGCTTCACCCGATAACAGGTTTCTTCGTCAAAAATGAAGGAAGATATAAAAACCAAACTTTTTATCATATTATAAGATTTTTCAATGTCAAAAATATTTTTTGTAAACTAATGAGCATAAAAAGATTACAGTGCTAAAAAAAATGTAGATGGATCTCTGAATTACCTCGGAATAATCATGTATCTTCTTTTCTTTTTAATTGATGCTTCCTTTTTGCTGTAGTAATAATTACTAAAATCTATTATCTATACAAAAAAAACGTAGCAAACAACGAGAAAATTCTTTTTGTTTTAACTACCCATAGTATCTTAGAGAAAAATGTTGTACAACCTATCCCGTAAGAATAAAGAAACTAGTAATTCAAGGGATCATGTCATCATTACTATGCCCACTTCCTCTGCAAAATTGGACTAAACTGCAAAACATTTGAAATGAACACTTTTAAGAAATATTCAATAAAAGTTCCTACAAATTTGAATAATCATCATATTAATTTGATTTCATACAATAAAGAATGTTTTATGCTAGTTAATTTATGTTGATTTGGTTATAAGTGAAAACTTTTACTTTAAAACAACGGTCCTCTTTTGAATATATTGGTTTTTCTATTTTGGTAATTATTGTCAATATCGTGAAAATGGAATATTCTATTTAATAAAAATTTTTTAATAATCGTAAGATTTATCTGTAGACGAAATCTTTAAATTATTTTACTGTGTAACTTATCAAAAATTCAGAATGCAAAAAATGAAAGGAGTTTTCTTTTAAGTATTTAATCTTATAAAACAAAAAAATAAATGCATATTATATTTCATATAAATCTAAAATCTTCTTTGTACCTGCAATGAACAACAATAGGTGGTGGTAAATTAATTGATTCTTGTTCATACTGATTAACAATTTCAATTAAATCAATTAGAGTTCGATAGTCGACAGTACCATATTTTGGCCAATTGGTAAAAAAGAAATGAATAAGATTATAGTGTGTTTTACCCTTAATAGAACAATTCGTTTTTTTTGTTATTTTATATTAAAAATTGAATATTCAAATAAAATATTTCTTACTTTTTGAACAAATAAACGACGAATTTCAAGCTGATTATCAAGATAATATTCAATATTAATAACTGTAATTTTAATTTCATTAAAATTTAATGTTTCATCTTTATGTCTTGGAATATAAGGATAGCATGAAGTCTATTATTAATAAAAAAAACAATCATTAAAAATATTTTTCCATAGATACAATGGCTAAGAATATTATTCAACAAGGTTTTAGAGTTCGACGAAGTTTAGATGCTTTTTAAATTTTTTTAATACCAAATAATTTCAAAAATTTCTATAAGACTGTTGTATTTCAGTTAACAAAAATTAATTTTGCGTCTTCTAGATGCTGAAAAACTAGAGATTTCTTTTTCTGAAAAGTTCCTCTTTGGAAAACTACTTATCGTTTCTTTTTTTCTTACATAACATAGAACCGAGAAGGTTTTATATTACTTTATAAGAGATATTTTCCTCTATAGGCTCAAATTTCATTTTGTTTTTGAATTTTATATCAACAAGATTTGTAACTTGATTAGTAGAGTCAAAATATTGACTTATTGTAACATTATTCTGATGTAATGTAAAATATTTTTCATCGTATAAAGTAACATCACAGTAACAAGGTAAGAAGCCATCCATAAAGGTAAAAATCGCATTTTTTGGACCCCCTCCCGCCATACTGTGCACGTCAAGTACAAACAAAAAGTTTTCCTTTTGTGAAATACCATCTGAAAGGAGAGTTGAAGTGTTTAGGGGTAGAAATTTGCACCATTCTCTCCCCAGAGACCATGACAGAGAAACTGTAGTTCTAAAACATCCGATAAACGGTTAGCTACAAATGTATTGCAAAGAAATGGAATAAAACGATTTCCATTTAATTAGTAACAATAGATCTATCATGTTTCACATTTTTACTCCCACACGGGATTGCGCTAACAGCTTTTTTTTATTAAAGTGATGATCAAGGGAGAGGGGGTCGCTTTCGAGATTTCCCATGTCCCCTGAAAAACCATAACCTGGCTCAAGGAAGCGGGAAATGCCGTTGCAAAGGTTCCCCTACTGCCCATCACAAGTGAGCCACATATCTGGAAAAGTTATGTGCACAAAACGCAAAATTTTCTAATATGATTACATGAACATCCAGATCTCTCTGACTCCGCCCCCCCTGCACCACCCCCCCCCCCACCCCCCCCCCCCCCGCCCCCCCGGCCCCCCCCCCCGCGCCCCCCACCCTCCC